ACGTTTTTTGCTTCGCTCCTCGATCGCGTTTCGCTCCAGGCTTTATGATACGCCATCGAGGAGGAAAGGAGTTGTCGGGATTATTATTATGCAGACACGACGATTTCCGAAGATAATCGTGCCCTGAAATAGGATTGATGGACTTGATCTGACGCGCACGTTGTAGATAACACGGGTAGATATTTATTTTACCGTCTGTTGCTTTTAATTATTATAAATAGCGATAGGCTCGCGAGATCTGGGAGATTTTTCCTTTAACATTGGTTGAAATTGAATTTTTAATTTTCGAGGATTTATGGGTTCTTGGTGTACGTGTTGCTTGTAAGAGAAAATAATTTAGGCTGCTTGAATAATATTCTTGAAGTTTCAAATTAGACAAATGCAGAGTAGAGGCTTTAAAATCCCTATCTAAAATTCATAAATATTGAAAAAGGCTGATGGCGTAAAGTACTTTACAAAATTTCGTAAAAAAAATAAGCTTCGACATAAGAGACCTTTTAATTATAACATTAGATTAATATAAAAGACTTTTTTGCAATATCGGATCTCTTTAAAATTTTCATTTGAACATCGGCAAACACGATGCTCGAACAATATTTAATAAGCTGGCTTGAAAAACTGCGAGATTCTTGGTCTCCTACCGCTATTATCGGTCTCGCAATAATACAAAACTAGATTAGTTTCAATCAGATATCCCTTGAATACATTTAGAATAACTATAGGAAATCATAAAAAAAATTATGCCGTCGGTATTCCGCTGCATGTTCCGAGAAATATCACGAAACCGGATAGATGTGTTTTAATTCCGTAAACGTGTGATGCAAAATAGTTTTTAATTCTAAATATAATCCGCGTAAATGCGAACACCTATTCACTGTCACAATACCAGCTTTTCGTCTGTATTAAATAGGATGAGAAACAACGCTAATTATGTGTAGGAATTTTTAAAGAAAATGCATACGTAATTATCGCGATTATTCAGAATCATTTGAAATAAGAAAAAAAAAAAAAAAAAAAAAAAAAAAAAAAAAAAAAAAAAAAAAAAAAAAAAAAAAAAAAAAGACAAAAAAAATGGTTTCGTCGAGATATTAACAATAAATATGCAAATATGCAAATGAACATCCTTAATTCATGCATTCTAATAAATAGCGTAATTGGACTTGATTGGTCATTAGTGTGAAGTGGAGTGATCGATTTGAATTTTCACACGGATCCAATTCCCCGTGATCTTCTGCAGAAATCCGATCTATAATCACAAATACATATAATCGCATAGCGCGGAGAACGGCGGATGGCTCGGCATTACATAACCATCTATTTATAGCGTCAAAAAGAATCTAAGTACAACTTTTTTCATAGTCGACGGTAGTTAAAAATAAATTTGCGTTAATACACGAGGACTCGGCTGTATTAGTACCAAGTCGCGTCCACGCGGGTGAAAAAAGCAAATAAACCAACAAAGAAACAAACAAACGAACAAACAAACAGACAAACAAACATAACAGTATCGACATTAAATGTTACGTGTCTCGCACTTACCTGGATATGGTTAAGGAAAGCTGTCTATTCATTATTATCAAACCGGCTACTTTGCATTATGCAAATCCAGAACGATTTTCAATGGCATGAGAAACTCGGGGCAACAATGACAGTCCAATTAAGCACGGAATAACATCCGAGTAAGGAGTCTTCCCCCATTATACGTGGGACGAAAATGACGCGAACCCACTTACACGTAATACAGAGAATGAGAGAATCGACGTTACACAGTATAATACGAGCGAGGAACATGGGACAGGAGGGGGTGGCTGGATGGGGAGGGAGTTAGAGGATTGGAAGATTGGAGGATTGGTGGGGCGAGGGTGGAGGGGGGGGGGGGGGGTTGGGAGGGGAAGAGAATTATTTAACAAAGAGTTCGGAAAAGAAACGAAGGAAGCGCGGCGACGACGCGCGATCGCGGCTGAAGGGAGTTTGAGAAATCGAAGACGAAGGAGGCAGAAGAAGGAGAGACACGGAGAGTCTGTCTCCGTTCCTGGCCTGCGACGCCGAGGAGGAAGTCAACGTCCGAAGATTACGGCAATGACATTCACTTTTTCTCGCTCGCGCGCTCCTCCTCCCTTCTCCTCCTCGTCTTCTTCTCGCCCACCTTCCTTCTTTTTTCCTTCACTTCGTGTAGATGCCCGATCGTCGCGAATTCCTTTTTGCCGCGCTTCTGCTCTTTTTTTTACGCGAATGAACGGCGACGCTGATGCGGCGGTAGGAGGGAACGGAGAGGGACGACTCTGTTGGACGGGAAGGGTGAGTCAGAGGAGGAGAGGCGATGTCTTTGTGATTTTCTTGGACGGGAGGTGATGCGTCCGTGCGCTCCTCATCACGCGAACCTCATCCCGAATGATACTTTTTGGTAGGCATAATACGTCCTTCGTGTGCGCTCGTGCACTTTTCTTGTCTTTTTGTTTCCCCTCCCCTCCAACACCGACCTTCCCTTCACTCGCTCTCGCTCTCTCTCTCTCTCTCTCTCTCTCTCTTCTTCTTCTTCTTCTTCTTCTTCTTTACTTTTATTTTTTTTTCTATCGTTCTTTTTATCGGAGCACAATGCAATTTTGGACTGGCGAGAGTGTCTTTAACGACGGGATCGGAAATTCCAGAATTTCGAGGACTAGCGAGGATGTGGCATTTATTCCGATCGGTGCTTTAATTAAAATGAAATATCGATTGTCGGACGTGCAAGGCTGCATTCGTTATTACCAAGATACTTTGCGCTGATAAGTGAACAAGACTCGCGAGTCTTAAGTTCGTCGACAATTGTATGTCCAATATTCGCGTAATTTTATTATGTATTATTTACCAGCCTGGTGTAGCTATGGAAATGTCACAAGAAAAATACGATTATAAAATACAAGAAATAAATTATTAGTATGGATATAATAATGATTAAGAATCTGCTTTATTATTTAATTGTGGTGACAGATTTGTTCGTGCTGCGCAGTTTAGGGAGCTTATAATATCTAACGCATCTAAGTCGCATTAAAATGTTTTTCAGCTTTTGCTAAAAAGTAATAGAGTCTCTAGACGCCTTTCTACTCGCAAAAGTTCCACTTACTCAATAACAATCATGGCCCTATAAGTAATCCAGTGCGAAATAACAAGCACACACGCGCATTCGTAATAAATGCTTTCTCCTCGTTCTTACGTGCTCTCCAATTTAAAAATCTATATGCTTCGAGTATGCAACGCGCGGCTTATCCGCTAAGTATTTACAGTCTGCCAAAGAAAACAAAAACAAATGCAGCTTTGCGAGCTTCGGTTGGCAACGTATTTATTATTAATGCCAACCTCGAAGAGCCACGCGCACCACGTTCTTTTGCCCAAGAGCTTACGCACGGCGTAATAATAAGGAAGCAGGGCTTCGAAAGATTAAGCTGGCTAAATTCTCTGAGAATATGGGCGTGGACCATCACTCGTGCATACTCATAGAGGCCGACATATGTCGCATGGTTATGGGCCCACATGTGGACAGGAATAAGAGGCGAGTGAGATCAGGAGACCATCGGCGACTGCCCGCGGAGTAGCGGCGCCTAATTCCCCCCCCCTCTCTCTCTGATAAACTCACTACTTACATACGTTCACTCGCTATCCTTCTCTCCCTCGCCCTTCATCCGCCCCCTCCGCCCCCTCCGCCCCCTCCGCCCTCGCCACCAACCACGCTCACTCCCTCACTCTCTATCTCACTGTTCTTATCTCTATCTCTATATGTGGCTCCCTAACACGCCCGTAATGAAGTAGTCCGTAACGTAACTCTCTCCTCCGCCTCCTCGCTTCATTTTTACGTTCCGTTTACCGCTCTCTCATTTTCCGTTTCGTTTTGATTATCTCGTTTCAGCGATGGACCTGGCGATAGTGCGCCAGACGGGAGAAGCAGCGACGAGTGTCGAGGACGTTAACAGCTGCAACGACATCACGAGGATAAAGGTCCGGCGGGGAGTGTGAGCGCCACGGGGTCATAGTAACGGCGCCGTGTGATTGAGCACATGTCCGGGCGCCGGATAATGGGTTGAAAAGTTGCCGGGCGCGCGATTAGACGCCGGCCAGCGCTCACTCACGCACACGGACTCGCTCTCACGACATATTATCGGTAAGGCGCGCGCGCGCGCGCGGGAGGACAGTGCAGTGCGATAAGGCGGCCCTGGCCCCGAATGTGTCGCGGAGACGATGGACGTGTTCAAGATCGACCAGTCGCTAACCGCGGGCCTGGGTAGTGCCCCGGCGCCCGACACACTCACCCCCGAGGTCTCCTTCGACGCCGGCAGCGAGTTCAATCTGAGCTTCTTCGACGGTCCCGAGGAGAACAGCACCCAGGGATTCAGCGACCCGGGCTCCGTGGGAAGTGCGAGCGCGTCCCCGCCCCCGGGGACGCCTGGAACGCTGCCCGTCAATCCGGCCAGTACGACTAGCCTGCCGATCGTCCAGGTGCCCACTGGCATCGTCGTTAAGCAAGGTTCGTTCCCCGATACTGCTCTCTTTTTTTAATTTTCACCTTAAGTTTTCTATTCCACACGGTCCCCATCCCCACCATCGGTATCCACGTGCCTCGTGCGACTCGATCCATTGCATTCCATGGCTGTAGGCTGACGCTCGATGCGCCCTACTGAATAATCTAATCTCTTGGGCCCAGCCTCCAAGCCCAACAAGTAATGCTCGAGTCATTTTATCCGCCGATATCGCATCGGCAATTATTATCCTCGTCCGATACGTTTCGGGTCGCTCGTCACTGGCAGAAGGCTTTATGTCGTAGGAACGAACGGGAGAACGGACGAGTAGTGGAGGATGCCAGGGTGGTAAGCGATTATAATTGACGAGAAGGAGCACTTTGTCACCATAACGGCCCACGTTAGTCCACTGAACAGATGACAAATCTTCGTCTTTCATATCTAGTCTCTTTGGCCTTTGGATTGTCATTTTTTGCTTTATCCCTGATTGTAATAGTGGGGCGGGTGGGGTTGGGGTTGGGGTTTGGGTAACCTGTCCAAGTCCCACCACTCAGTTGCCGGAATAATCGGTAAACGAAGAACATTGGATGCGACTCTGCCACTAGCGCATTACGCAATTCTTGCACACTGGGGTACATTGCTCTTAACCACCGTACCAAGTCTGCGTACGATTAATGCCCGTTAATTCGTGAATTGCAGTTTTGTGTTGGTTTATTCGCCATTACATTAGGGATTGTGCCAAGTTGTCGTGTGTGCAGTGAATTAGTTGGATGCGTTATATTCGAGGCACAGTAATTAATGTAATGTCCCGAAAGTGCCTAATTGAAAGGTTGAATTAGAGGTTTGACACCGAGATGTCATGTGAATACTCTCTGGGTGTTGGTAAACACAACCAAGTGGCCTCAGCTGCGGAACATCTAACTTAACCTCATAATAAAAGAATATAGGGAGAAATATACATAAGCCTCATTTACATAATGCACAGTGTAAATTCTTAATTGACTACGATTGCTTCATCGATGAATATTGTAAAATTCATTAATACGATTTTTTCTTCTTTACTTTTCTTTTACATTGAGTATTATCTTGATTTATGACCGAACGCCATAATTGAATTGCATATGTTATGTATCTTGTTAATTATTTTACCGACGATTTTCACCTTCTCTAATCCTCCATTGCTAATCCAGGATTAAAATAGCCATTAAGTATAGCTAGACATCTTTATGCTTAATAAGTATTACATTTATTTTTATTGGAAGGAGTAATTGAAGGAATGTTTAAAGAATATTAATGCTCAATGCTTGGACTATATTATCACACATCGAATGATAGTGTAGTAATCATTGCTAATTGAATATCTGCCATTGCACGAAGTAAATTATTATTCATTTTATTGAAATTATTAGAAAATTGTTGTGTCAAATTTGTAATTTACTATTTTTATTATCGTTCCTTCGTTTCGTAAGCTAAATCGCTTAATGCCTTTGCTATTCCTTGTCACGCTGCATTTATCAGATTTAAGAAGTTTTATTATTCTTGTAAAGATCGAAACTTTGATGCTACATTATTTCGCATGCAATATTATTTCGCGTATTAAATCATCTATTTCAGAATAATAAATTATCAAATTATTTGTCCAGTATCCATGCTTCTATTAAGTATAATTCTTCAAAGTGTTATTCTATCATGGATTATTGATTGAAAATAACGATTACAATGGCATTTGTTATATTAATTAAAATAATTCAATTCACGAGTAAAATATGCATTGCATAAAAGCATATTATTATAATTATCTTCGATTTAAATTATGTCTACGTAATTTTTAAATGGCCTTTTTCTATTTATATAAATATTTTCAACATAAAGTTCATTATATAAGTTCAATAATAGATTTGAGAGTGAATAATAAAAATCAAATGGTGACAAATTAATTAATGTTTACGATAGTGATAGAACGGAATATGCGACAGATATAATATAATAATCACATTTATGACTATTTATGAGTACGAAGCTAATAAACTTGTTATAACATTACATTTACTGTTTTCTTTGATTGATGATCGTAAGATAGTTTCTTTACGATTTGACTTGAATTAACTCGAAAAGTTAAGGGAAATTTACGTTGCCTTAATGAATATTTAATTATGAATTTTTTTAAAGACCAAATAAAATTCAACATGTTTATGTTTATATAATGTGAATAATGATTTTTAATTCATATAATTCATTAAGTTACATAAATACACGAATACTTTGAAACACCGTTGTTTATAATTTTACAGATATTATAGACACAAGAGAGTTGTGTCATAAACACTTCATCATAACATGAACAAATTTGCCTTTTTCTCATCACAGATACCATTTATCATTTTCAATATAATTTAATATAGAATCTACGGATTCGAATGAGCATATGCATAAGCCCATACTAATATACAAATGTATCTTTTTTCCCCCACCTCTCCCCTGTCCCTCCCGCCACTCCCAATCCCCGCCCCACCGTGCAACTCGTCACCCAACAGACACATACTTTGATTATTATATAATATTGCTAACCGTAATATGACTTCTTACATAAATATATAAACTATGAAAATAATATTACTTTTTGTAACCAAGAATTTCCTCATACTCCTCGATTTCTTTTTCACGAAACAAATTTCATCTCCTCTCTATAATGAAATATCAGTATCGATATTGCTGTTACGATATTATAATACGGGAAATGGTTGCCCTATAAAGCCACACTTTCATAAAATTAAAGTTGAAAATGATCTCTGCCAATAACGCAGCCCACTAGGCACAAAAGTTTTATTTCCTAAGTGAAAGTACGAAGGAACTTTCTCGCGTGCACGAGTACATGACACCCGAGCACAGAATGCTCCGCGTTAGAGAAGAAGAGCTTGCAATTAGCCGTGCATCTGGAATTCACGGCATTTAAAAAATTTACGACGACTGTCGGCGACATTCTCGTCGAATGCTCGATAAATTAATCATTTGCGCATGCGTGTTTGGCCTTGGGAAGGACGCGACCCCCGTGATTTACGGTCGCAATTTTGCGTTACTTCGGCGTGGGGAGCGCCCGAAAAAAGAGGCTTTTCGCGCTGCAATTCGCCTCTCCTTTTTGTCGTCTTTGTCCCTCTTTCATTCTTCTTTTTCGTTTTTGCTGATCGTTCCCTTGGCCACGAGCGCGCCGCCGCAGATGGTTTACCGCTCCCGTGGGTCTCATTCGTATCCTCCACGAGTTTTAACGGCCCGGCTTTGGAAGTTTTCGCGCCGATAGAGTGCAAAAGATTGCAAGCTACGTTTTCCCTTTCGGGGGATAGAGCTCTTAGGTCGAAATTGCCTCTCCTTCGCGGCTTTTTAATTTTTTTTTACCGGTGCATCGCTACCACGGCACCTCGCTAACACGGCACCTCGCTTTTATAAAAAATAATTTGGGTGGGTAGAGGAGGGTATACGTAGTGGAATAACATTTTTATGGGCGAAACGAATATCGCCGCGGATATTACCTGAATTTCAAATGCCAGAGCTTTGTCATTTCGAAGCGTTGCATAAAAAAAAAGTAATATAAAAGGTAATTTCAACCTCGCCCGGGCATTGGTGAGTGAGCGCATGAAAATCCATTATCTTTGACAGGGACTACCCAATCTTATATTTAAATAGATTTTACATATAAACTTGTGCGCATACAACCTCTTTACATGCGCATTTATCGATATCTACGTTCATTGCTCCTTGACAAATCACTAGATCAATGGCATTGGAAAGATTATACTTTTATTTCTATAAAAGTATCTGCGTGTACGATAAATGGCTATATTATTGGTTTATGATTGGCTGATCGATGATTTACCGATTGGAATTGGATTATTTTCCTGTATCAAATTAAGTTCGGAGGATCAGTTTTATATGCTCCTTGCATCGTGTGTTAGTTTTTGACTTTTTAGTTCAGATATGTCAGCTCGATTTACTAAAAGACAAAGTTTTAGGAGTCGAGCATGACACGGATACTAAATAGAGATTTCATCAAAATACAAAATTTACAAAATCAAAATATTAATCTTCCTTTAATTTGATTTATTATTTGTTTTCAAAATACTAATAATAGTCTTTATATATATAATAATAATAACGTTAGATAAAAATAGACCTAAATTGAATTAGATATTTGACATAAACTACTTTAATATATATATTTTTTTTTTAATATATATACTTCTATTAAATTATTATGAAATTAAAAAAAATTTTTTTTTTCTTTGACTTCGATATTTATGTTATATTATATTTTTACAATTATAATTATATCAGAACATCTGTCAAAATAATGCATAAATAATATAATAAACTATGTGATGTATTTGGTGCGGTAGTTATTTGTTGTACGCTACGTATTAACTACTTGCTGATGAATATTTTTACGTTATAATACGTTTTGTGACCATGTAATTGCAAAAATAGCTTAATCAAAGAAAGAAAGATAAAGTCTTACGTTAAATTTTGTAGGAGCATATTTCATGGGCATTAAATTTCGGATTCAAAATCTTTCATCTTTCAATTTGGGCATTTCGTTGATGAAAAATGCCGCATTGACTTATTATCGAATGCAATCGATAATGTTATAAAAATTAATTTTGCTTAAAAAAAGTGCTGTGAAACATTAATGTTAAGAAATGAAAAAAAAAAAAGAAAAATGTATTTGCCACTTGAATTTTTAAAAAAACACACAATATAAACATTCGTTTCCATACCTCTTATTTTTTATATCTAAATAAAACAAACACATTTTGATTTAATCTCGAAAAAAAAAAACTAGATATCATTATTTAATGATTATGTTCAGGCACATAGATGAGATGTTATTTGAAGTATCTTGCTTCAAATTCATAATTATTTCAATAACTAGTCATAATTTTTTTTAAGTTTAAGTTATTTATATATGTTTCTTGTTTAAAACTTGAGAAATTATTCTCATTTATCTCTCGAGACTTCT